TTAGTTTGAGATAAGAGAAAAGGTTAATAATCAGAGTATTTAAATAGGTAATTTATAGATAAATTGCAGGTATAGTAGTATAGTGTAAAACTAATAAATAGTTAATCGTTTGTATAGTAGACTATTTAAATTAAATAATGACTAAAGTTATATGTATAGTTTGTTATATACTCATTATATAATTATAAAACCTTAGAAAACTATTCATATGATAGTTCTATAATAACAAACTAATAAAATCTAATCCAGTCTACTGATATACCAAATTATGGCAATATAGATTACTTCTTTTATAGTATAGAAATGATGATCAGAAAATTCTAGTCTCTTTTTCGTGATTGATCAATTTTATAAAATCAAATTTATAGTTTTACTGCTATACTGCTATACTGCTGTACTGTTAAAACAGCAAATTTTTTTAATTTTACAGAAGACTTTTTACAAACAAAAAAAAAACTAGGTTATATACAGAAATGTAACTAACTGATTAGTAAAAAGCTTGAAATAATAACAATTTCATAATAATATTAAAATAGAATACAGGATTACAAATACTCGAAGTTTAACTTAGATTAGAAGAAACATTTGGTAAGCATTTTATATTCATGATCAAAATTTATAAGTCGAAATAAGGCTTTTAGTATTTAGAACTATAAGAATACAATAAAGCTTGTATTATTAAAGATAGATTTTGCTCATTTACAGTAGTCTATATTTCAGTATTTAAGGTAGCTTATTATATATTATGGGTGATTATAGCTCTATCGTTTGAAGAAGAAACTATAATTACTGTATATATAGTGATAGATATATATATTATATGTCAAAATTGAGTTTTTGTGAATTCAAATAAATCGTTGGTTAGAGAATTTGAATCCTATTTCGTAAGTAGATTTATAATATAATTTGATCATTGTTATATACTACGTTACTATGTGTATAAAAAAAAATAATAATAAAAAATAAACAAGTTTGAGTTCTTATTCGTCAAAATCGCTTTATACTATAAATTTTAAAAATAGCTAAGTCACAAGTTTATCTCACAATGTACTTGAAGGCTTATAAAATTTCTTAATGGCAAATTCATTAATTGACATATAAGATCTTTAGTTTATTGTATAAGAAAGTTATGATTCCTGTATTAAAGTTCTCAAAATCCGTTAAATAAATGCAGTTATTAGAACAGCTAAAAATTATTGAGTCAAAAAACATTCGCTTATAAAATCTTGGTATATCCTATCGATAGAACATATGGTATACTTTGTAGTTTACATCAAGGTATTTTAAAATGTATTAGTTTAGAATGCAGTATATAATGTATATTTTAATTTATTAGTGATTCCTGAGCAATACAGTTATATTTCACAATCATTTGTTAAAGAATTGAACTTATATAAGATGAAAATTTTAATTTGAGTTCAAGCTGATTTATTTAATAGATTTAGAATCAATTTAAATTGATTTTAAATTTATAATTAAAAAGTATTTAATATAATGATATATCATAAATTTAAGTAATTTAAAAAAAAAAATTAAATTATATTTTAAGAATGAGGTGATTTGATCTGATTTAAGGATAATAAAGAATTATAAAATTGGCCTTTCAATTTTAAACCCTGTCTAATTAAAAAAATATATTTTTAGCCTTCGATACTTACTCATATTACTTTAAACAAGCATAATCTTTATTTTATCCATTCTAACCTATAATTTCTATATAATCTTGGTTATCAGAATTATTTATGATAAATAAATGCTTTACCTCTTGCAAAATAATCAGCAATTCTGCTTTTTTTCTTTTTGATCTAAATCTGGAATATTTTTTTCGAAAATCTTCACCAAGCTGTTCAAGAAGAGTTTCAATCTTTAATAAAATCTCAGCAATAGTCATATTTTCCTCACATTCTTGTGCCTTAGCTTCTTGATTCATAATGAGTATTTGTCTAAATAGAGGTAGACTATTTTTGTTAATAAATACTTCAGTAATGAAATTCCTTCATACTTGTTTTGCTGAAGATATGAAGTTTTCAAGGACTTTATTCAAATTATATTCTTCTAAATCTTGATTTAGAAAATTAAGGCTTCGTAAATGAGTCTGAAATCTTCAGCACTCTATTATTGATTCCAGTTGAGTTCTTGGTCCAAATGTTTGATGATCATTATATCTGATTACTTGAAACAAATTGTTTCTAAGCTAAAATTTAATATTAATTAATAATACTGTACAATTATACCTATAGTTAATTAATTATTATTTCTGGGACACCTGATAATTTTTGCTCACTACTGAATCATTCTCAGTTTCACCTAGTAAATTGTCTAATCTCTCAGAAACTATATCACTGTCTTCGGATCCTTAGTCTGAAGACAACGACATAGTTTCTAAGAGATTGGACAATTTATCAGATAAAACTGGGAATAATTCAGTAACAAGCAAAAATTATCAGGTGTCCCAGAAATAATGATAACAGCTGTAATTACAGCTGTTTTCATAAATTCTGGAACATCTGGCAAAAAATGGTCTAAACAAATATTGCTTGTTTGATAAGTTTGTGATTTAGCAGTGATAAACTTTTGATTTAGACGTGAATTACAGTAATTCATATTCAAATCAAAAGTTTATTACTGCTGAATTACAAACTTATCGAACTGGCAATATTTGTTTAGACCATTTTTTGCCAGATGTCTCAGAATTTATGAAAACAGCTGTAAAATAATTACCTTTATAAACTGTTTGCAATTACGCGTAGCAATTTTCTAGTGATGATATTGCAGAACAGAAGGTATTAAGGTTTTTAAGGTCTTGTTTATTTCTTCAATAATTGCGTCTAATCCTTGGTGTTATTCAAAAATACCTGATCTGAAAATGACACTGTTTGTTTATATTATATTACAAATTACTAGATGAAGTTGCATTTGTTGAATTTCATCAAAGGCTTCTATTAGATGATAGATAGAATGGCATCTCGCAAACCAGATTGGTGAAAAGATTTGCCTAGCTACTTTTTTCAATAGAGAATTATTAGTTCTTATAGCTTTCTGATAATTGATTATAGATTGAAGATAAATAAACGTCTATTAAAATGTAATTAAAAAAGTTAGTATCAAAATTTCAAAAACAAAAAAAAACAACGTTGTTAAATTACACCACTGGTATACAACACCACATTGGTTTTGGCCAATCTATAGCCTGGAATTTTGTTTATGAAGATACTTTTTGTGTTATAACCAGAGCAGATGATTTTTTGCATTGTACAAAATGCTACAGAAATTACAAAATTAAGAAGTGGATGCAGAAAATGTTATAAATATCACAGAACTGCTACAGAAATATCAAAATACTGCAGAATTGCTGCAAAAAACAGTTTAAAAATTTAATTAATAATATTTTAATTTTACCTCTCCGATCCTTTTTTTTTTTTTTTGTACGATTTTTTTTTTTTTTTTTTTTAGAAAATGTAAAAAAATTTTATACCAAAAGAAAAATTACAGAAACCATAAAATACCATGGAAACCTTGCAGTATTTATCAATTTGATGCGCAGAATTTACAATTTAGTATTGACAGAACAGAATCGACTAGTTATCACCGCAGAAAATTATCAGCTCTGGTTATAACAAATAAATCCTCGTGAAATTTTGATATAAATTTTGCTAAACCCTAACTCTAACTCTAATTCCAGTTCTAACCTACCTCTAAAATTACTAATGTTTAATACATTATATACTGGTGTTGAGCACCATGGTATGATTTAATTTAATTGAAAAAAAAACTTAAAATAATAATAATAATTAATAGCAATCTGCTTATATTTAATCTGATAAAGTAAATCCTGCTATTTAGCCCAAGAGATATATCCTTCAATCGACAAGTCCGAATGGCTCTTTACATATGGCTACATGAGCTTCATAGAAATTGCATGGCAATAGATGTTACAGATAGAATTCCAAGACTTATAATAATCCACACACTTTATAAAATAAGCAAGCTAGTTTTCTGTTCGGTATCCCTAACATTTTGTGAATCATTTTATGTCAATTTCCCTAGCAAATAAAAAAAAATAAGTATCAAATTAGATACAATTCAACCTGAATAAGTCAATATAACGATTCAATAACAATGCCTTACCAATTTAATTCCACAAATGCTCGAAGCATATTCATCTCTTCATGAAGTTGTCCCAGTATAAGAACTAGCCAAGGAAATTTTTCTTTAAGTTTGATAGTATAATGATATAGAATACCATCACAAACTATAGCTATCCACTTATGAATTCCAGATTTGATACCTGATATCATTTCTATATGTAAAAGAACTTTTTCAATATTCATAATAGAGTTAGAATTAATATTTATCAGGTCGGGAAAATAAATTTCAGGAATATTAACTCTTGGATCAGTAACTTGTTGGGTAAAGCTTGTAACATTTTGTTTATCATTAACACTATATGGTTTAAAAATAAACGAATAGGTTAATTTATTAATTATATTATTTTCAATTACTTCTTCTTTTTGTAACTCAGCTAATGTCAGCAACTGCTTTCCACATTTTGGGCATATTCTCTTTTGATTCTCAATATTTTTTTGATTACATGAAGAACATATTTTCATATTCGTAATGTTAATTTCTATAGACGAAATAAGAGAATCAATTAGATTATTAGAGGATAATTTTTCTTTAACTAATAAATTAAAAACTTCGCTATGATAAGCATTTAATTCTTCATCTAAAACTTTTTGTATTTGAGAACTAACATCGAAAAGTTCTTCATACTGTGATCTGTCAAAAGAATTATAAGCCCAAGAAGAATTAGTATACTGAATTTTGTTTAGTAGTGCTATGTTAAAAACGACAAAGCTAGTAACAACATGGTAAATCACTGTATTGAATCCTCGGTCAAGATAATTTTTCTGCCCTCTTTGTTTATTATCAAATGCCAAAAATAAAAGACTTTCAGGCAAAGATTCCTCATGTTTTGACAATTTCTCTAACCACTTTTGAAATCGATATTCACTTCCTAAATTCGTAATATGATTGTCAATATTAATAATTATTTTTGACCTAGCAATCGAATATTTAATAGCTGAAAGGGCAAGTTGAATTTCTGATACATATTTTCATAACATATTCCATATATTAAATCAATGGCAGTAATAGTTTTAAACAACTTTTCTTAGCTTAAAGTATTATTGTGAATATTCTGAACGAGGGTCTCTATAAATTTGACAACAACTTTATTATGTCTCTTAAGCTATTCGTGTGGTCTAAAAACCATGATATTCTCTATAGAAAACTGAGTATTATTATGAATTAATGATTCTACATCATTGTATAATGATATCTGATCTGAAATAATTAAAATTAAAGCATAGATTAGAAATTGAGGTCAAAATATATATGGGCACACAAGAGGAAACTTGTAAGTAAAAATTTTCTCTTAAAAAATTATGATATTATGTAATTAATCATATATATGAATTGTATATATCGAATATGATTAATTATGTAATATTACAATTTTTCAAGGGAAAATTTTTACTTACAAGTTTCTTTTTGCACGCCTATATGTGAATCCTGAATTACTGAATTAACAAATAAAATTAAAATATTGAACCATTGTTCATATCAATATTTTTTTTTTTTTTTTAAAAAAAAATATATATATTTAGTATCATACTAACTTGCTTTTGCTATTTTAATAATGGCATTAACTCATTTTTTACGATCAGAAAACCTTGAGTTCTACTGTTCAACAAGTGCTTCATTATGCCTAATTTTTTCATCGTACAAATCTTGAATTTCAGCTATACTATCATAAGCCCTTCATAATTTACTTTTTAACTCCTCTATCTCTCTTTTTTGATCATCTATATATTGCTGCATTCGCTTGATTTGACTATTGAGTTCTGCTATTAATTCTGACTTTTGCTGATTTTCTAGTTGACCTAATTCTAAAAGTTGTTTAATCCACTCAAGTTTAACCATTAGATTGGTTATATTAGCACTTAGATTTTCTTCATTATGAGATATTTGGTTTTTTTGAACGGAGCCTACAAGATGCTCATAAAGCTGATAATTTTCTGCGGTGATAACTAGTCGATTCTGTTC